AATACTCGAACTAAGCAACTGAAACCTTAAGAATCTGACACTCTGACATCAATCATTCTGCGTTTGTTCTTTCAATTATTGATAATTGGCAACAGTTGTTTATCGCCTGTTTTATTTGAGATAACGATATAGGATAACAAATCGAAGTATTGTCGGTACATTCCTATTTATTATTGATGTGATAATTGCTTGTTTACTTAAACTTTTGTCTAAATTATGATCGCCTCAAATTGACGCATATCCGTAGAAATAGATATACCACATAGAGAATTTCAATATTTCAACGCTTTTGAGGTAAATAGCATTTAATATATATTTACTTCGATCAATGGTTAAAAGTCATTACAAGAGATAACATAAAAATTCAAACGGGTTTTATAATTTTCCTTACAAAAGTCGAAATCCGTCAAAATGACGTGTCCCGTAAACCTAGTGTTAAAATGCCATTGAATAAGTTAATTTTAAAATGATCTGTAAATTTGCCTTGAATATGAAAAGTTTTAGAGAAGAATCACAATTATTTTTTAAAAAATTGAAGCCAAATGTCGCCAGAGAAATCTACATAATAAAAGATCAACAAGTTGTGGTGCGAATAATTTTATTGTTCACAAATTCAGAATACTTATCTTTAATTATTTATTTATTATCCGTGAAAATACAAAATAACATAATGATATCGTGAAGTCGTAAAGGGTCAATAATAGTTCCATCAATAATTTGGATATCATCTATTTTTATATTTCCGGTATGTTGTTGAGTTGATAATTATCCTTAATGCCTGGCAGAATGGACAATGGTCACTTCGGTTGCTTTCATGTTGGGCAACAGCCATTCTTTGCTGTCTTTTTTGATGGATCTGTCGAATGGGAATCCCATGGATTTCCTGTCGGGATAGAGATCATCCTTCACACCGCAGTAACTGACAGCGTCAGCGCAAATGTTCTTATCAGTAAGCTGACCAACCTAGAGAATATTTTGATCAGTCATGTTGATTTTGGAAGAAAGAATGGGAGCAAAATCGTTGAAATAACTTTTTTCAGCAATGATTTTTAGAATATTTACTTTTATTTTGAAGACTCAGCCTTCAACATGTCTTGTGACGTATGTTTTATAGTGCGGAAACTAGTAATAGGTGCACCGGAGTACCTGGCCAAAAAGGCCACCTCCGTAAATTATATGATTACAAACTGAATCAAGGGCCATTGATGTTGAAATTATTTGGGTTAGTAAAACTTAATGTTAGACAGTTAAATAATATTGAGGAAAAAAGAAGATAGAAAGGACAGCACAAAACAGGGATAACACAGATAGGTAAAAACATAAACAAACAGATGAAGCCATTAATCTTTAAGAGAAAGTATTAGATATAGATTTTTAATTTTAAATCAAATATATATGGATTCAAAACATCTGTAGGAATAATTTCGCTATTCTTTAAATTTAACAGCTAAATTTAAATATTTTTCAGTTGTTTTGAAAAAGCTTAACTACCACTCATTTATTATTGTAACAAGGTCCTGGGAAAAAATTCCAGTGGTGGCCAAGTTTTCGTTATTTTTAGTTTATTATTTTTTATTTAAAGCAATTTTTATACCACTACTTACCAAATATTCAAAGTATCATATGAAATGCAACAGCGTGACTATTAACTTGGTGCGACTCTTTTAAAGAGTGATTAATTATCATTATTCTACAAGTTTTACTATTTCATTGGTTACCAATTTATAGAAAACTTTTTGCAAAAAGTGAAGCAATTGGTATCCGTGCCTTCATATTTGTAAAATGAGCAATTTTTTTATTAAATATATCCTGCCATAACCCTGCCATTATAATATTAAATATATCCAATTTTTCAATAAACATAAAAGCAATTAGTGTGCTTTAATCAAATCTGTAGCTGTTTTTAGCCTTATTTCTTAGCTATTTGAGCTTTTTTCTTTGCCTTTCCTTTTTCTATTACTTTCTTCAAAAAAAAAGGCTTTCTAAAAATTAGTTTTTCTATTTATCCGTAAACTTACCAAGTCCTTCAAGTGGTCAGTTACAATCACAAACAGATGGAATTTCATTCCCTTATCGTTACCCTTGGGAACGAGAAGATGGTCTGGCCATCCGCAGCTGCAAAATTCTGAAGAATGTTCGTTAGTACCCTCTCCCCTCAGAAGTTGCTCGAATTTTCTTTCCTTGTTAATTGTCACACTAGATTCTCTTGAAGTTCGGTGGATGTCGTTAACTCCAGGGTTCACTAAAAGTTAAGAAATATACATTGTAAGGAACTTATACAAAAGTGTTATATTGAATCATTGATTACAAAAAATTCATATATAAGTTGATTCAGTGCAGCGGCTGCACAAACTTACAGCAAAGATCAGGAGTGAAAGTGACACGGAAAGGAGGGGAAAAAACTGGCAGTAATTCTGTAGTAACTAATAATTTTAAATATTACTACCTTTCCTGGGTAGTAGAATTAGCTTTTTCTGCTCTTAATTATATAGGCTACTCACTACAATTAATTATATATATATCATGTTATAACTGTTAAAAAATCTTGGTTGTCATGGATGAGTCACTCTTGGTAGCACTTTTTCAGAAGACAAACTAGAATGAATGCTCTTTTCCGTCTTGATAAATATAAACTCTAGGGAGATTTCCGTATCGTGATCTGTGGCAGAATTATCGCCTAACCTTGGCAACTTCCGGGCAGCGGCCCGCGAGAAACTAAAAAAAAAAAAAAAAAAAAAAAAAAAAAAAAAAAAAAAAAAAAAAAACATCACAGTAAGGGACCGACTTGAAAGGTATAACTCGTAGCCACCTCCGGGCAAACATCTACATGTTTTCTTTTTTTTTTTTTAATTTTCAATTTTAAAATCTATGTGGCTCCTTGGCGATTGTTGGCCTAGTTGGCGTGACAGGTCACGATACGGAAATATCCCCTAAACTGTCATCCCTGGGAGAGTAAGAGCACAAAATAAGAATTGACTATTGCATGACAACCTATGCCCAGAAATGTCATCGTACTCCGTTAGTAGAGTAACCCTTTGCTTGGGGGAAAAATTTAGTCAAGAAAAGCGAAGAGAATTGTGGAATTGAAGAATTGTGAAACTGATTGTGGTGCAAATCAGAGGCATTTAGTCAATATGTATATATATAAGGGCAATCATTTCCTTCTTCTAGGAGAGATATTACATCACTACAAAAGAAAGATTTCTGTGTGTCGCTTTCTGATGTCTTTTGGTAATATATTAACCCTTTGCACTCCGATGTCTCCACTGAGGCACCAACAACAGTCACTACTTTAAAATTAAGATATTATACATCTTATTAATTAGTAACCACGTTATTTTAAGAATTTTAAAATAGTATAATAATACTATATTGTGTATTTTAAATGCTATTCAGCTGATATTAGATCAATCAGCATTTTGAAGCCTTCGGAGTGGAAAGGGTTAAAAGGAAAATATCATTAACCCCTTGGGGACGGGTGATTCGGAAAAGCATTCGTACAAAATCAGAATCAAGTTGCAATTAAATAAAAAACGGTAACTTAAATGTAGTCGTTACTAATTTGACAGACTTACTTTGCTTTTATTTTAATTATTGTTAGTTTAATCATATATATAATCAATGTTAATTCAAAGTATAACTAAATAGTTTTATTTTGAACAAAGTAATGGTGAATTAAATAAATCAAAAAATTATAACTCCGCCTACAAATAAACTGCTAAAGAAATACTTTGATTACCAGTTTTATCTTCTTACCCTGATTGATACTGTTTTTTGCTGTCACGTATTTGTGACAGTCGGCGCGAAAGGGTTAAACTGCAGTGTTTGGCCGTATAAAAGAAGTTAGAATTTAACTCAGCTGTGTGTTGAAGATAATAATTTTTTTAGATTTTTTTTTAATAATTGAAACATATTTTTTAGCTGCCCTGCTGAAAGTGTTTTTAATTGTTGGCTGTATTTTAAATGAACACCTGCTTACAATTTTAATTGAATTGGAATTTCCCTACTACTAGGATGAACTACTTTTTGAATCCCTACTACTTTTTGAAAATTGTTGAAGTTGACAACCATGCAACTTTTATTAACACGTTCATGCCGGGAAAAGTGAAAATACTGGTACGGGAAAAGAGAAAATACTGGTAGAAGAACTATTTCAATATTAGATAATATTCGGGAGGAGTTAATCTATTCTCAACAATAACTATTCACTATAAGGAACTTTATCACGACGAAGAAGCAATTCAATATAAAAATTGCATCCGTTAAAAACAATTGGTAGTTATGGATTTTTATTATTCCCGGAAAAAAAACTAAAAAATGAAATTTATTGTTACCAGTTTTTACTCCGGTGAGCTGCCAAGATGAGACAATCTAGCGTGACCCACCGGTGGGTCACCCCGGCGAGAACGTGTTAACCTTAATAAAGCCACACTCAAATTGCAAAACAAATAACACACGATGTCCTTTCCTTTCTTCGAAATTATATACTGGTGATGTAATTATTTTATTATTAGCACCTCTACTTCTTCAACTTGAAGCTTTTTCAGCTTTTCCCAAAATGAAATATTTGAGTATGAAAGTATTAAATATTGAATAAAAATTTATCAGCGATATACTCACAGACGGCGCTAAACCTATCCAGTTCAATCATGAGTCTCCTGATATCATCAATCTTGATTTTATTGCCGAGTTCATCAAATACTGGTCCGAGGAAGATTCTGATAGTTCCATGGCATACTTTGGTGGATTTGTTTTGAATCTTGATATCATATGCGAAAGGCTCATGATCCAGATGTTGATAACGGATCTGTTGAATGAAATTTGATTAATACTTCTTTTCACTCGCTATTGCTTAAATTCAATTCATTCCACAGATTAACCGGTGCTTAACCCATTTTAAGCCAAACATAGAATTTTAGAGAACGTGGTATTGTTTTCATTGAAGTATACTTAAATTACATTCATTAAGACACAAAAAAAGTTCGTGCATGAAAAATAATACTTCATTTTAGAAATGAAATGGTGCATAAATGGTAATGAAATGAATAATAATAATAAACCCTAAATGGTAATTATGAATAAAATGGCAATTCTATTTAAAGAATTTGCAACTATAAACGTTAATAAAAACATATGGTTAATCTCAAGTTTAATAGTTATACATTTTCAAATAGTCGAATTTGTCAATAACTGTTTCAAGTTAATCCAATTGAATTACTAATATTTTATAGATATATTCTTAAGATAGATGTCCCTTAATATCTTAATAATTAGGATAGATATCTTAATAAAGATAGATATATAGATATCCCTTAATATCTTAATAATTAAGATAGATATACGTATACATTTCAATAAAAAAATATTTATTGAAATGGTGCGTTTACATACCTTTGGCCGAAAATGGGTTAATTTGATAACCTACATATAATTACTTATGCTTGAAACTAATACTTACTTTACTAGCTAACTTATTTTCGAAACTAGTTCTTATACTAAACTGACTAATAAAAATTACGAAAATTTATGAGGTTTTAGTGAATTTGTGGACAAAAAATTTGAAGCAGTAACTAAGATGGTTCTAATGTTTAGAAACTCACTGTAACATGAAATCTGCAAAATCTGAACTTCATCTTTATTTTATGATTTATAAATTAAATAGAAAGTTATTTTCTTGCAAAAATTTCTCCTAAAAGTAAAACTTGATGTGTCTAGCTATACATATAAAATGAAATTACGTTTATTATTACAACAAAATATAGAGTACTTTCAATATCATACCTATTTGTTGAATAAATTTTGACAAATCGTTGAGGAACATAAAAATGATTTTGAATTTTCATTTAATGTTATAACAAAATATATTACTTTAAGTTTTATCTTTACTAGTAAAATAAATTTTGACAAAATGTTGAGATGTTGAGAAAACATATAAAATTTCATTATTTACATTTATAATACAATTACATTTAATATAACAATGAAAATATAATGAAGTATTTTTTCATATTAGTTGAAAAAATTTTGACCCTATGTTCAGAATTTTTTTTAAATACCTATAGAATTTACAACATTTACTTGAAAATGAAAAGTGATATTATCGATCTAATATTATTTGTAAAACACGCTTTTAAAAACGGAAACTGAAATAACCAGGGAGAGCATAAGCTTGGCAGAAGTCTTTGTCGATAGATCTCTATTTTATTTTTTTGTCGAAAGCGCTTTTTTTCACGAATTTATATATTACGAATTTATTTGACGATTTTTGATTTATATCACGAATTTATTTGTTTTGATAGAATTTATTTGTTTATGCAGGTTTTTCCATTGCAATTCACTTATTTCAATTTTTAATAGACTTAATTATAGCCAAAATTTTAACCTTTTTAAAGAGATATCAGTTTTAGAAATTTTATCTTAAGATTTTATACTATGGCACATTTCTAATAGATTTAACGAATTACATGTCATTTATTTGAATTCAAATTTATTTTAAGGACTCAGTATTTACTAAAAAGATATAATTTTTTTTTTAAGAAAAAGTTGTTATATGGATTTGAATGATTGTTTTGAATTGGGTATAATATGAAAAAAACACAACTACTTCCACTGCGAAAATTTTACTAGGAATAACATTTACCTTTTAGTTTAATTAACAAGCTGAGTTCTAAATATGTTTACTAAATTCATAAACTTAGATAAAACAACAAAATAAATTATTTCAAAAGGAACTAGAATAATACAATTTCAACCAGCCGAGTAGCGACTTATAACAACACACTTCATTTAATGTTTACTTGTTGCTAAAAATCAAGTTCGCAGAAATTGCTATTTACTAGTTAAATTTAGTAGGAATAACACATCCTGTGACGTAAGCTATAGTATACCCAATTCTTAGAACTTTGTGCATTTGCAATGTACTTAAGTTAGTAGCGAGCGAAGTGAGCTTGGTTTGCGAAGCAAACCATATAAGATTGTGTAGCAATTTTGGGGGGTTGGCAAGCGTTAGTGATCAGGGGGCGTAGCCCACTAGTATGTAGAAAACTGGAAGCATTATTTTCATTTTGTTTTACGTAGAATAAATTTAATTTTCATTTAGTAATTTAAATTACTAAAAAAACTGACTTTTTTTTTATTTTTTAAGTTGAACTATCTAAATCCGGAGGATAAGAAACTTTTAACTTCTGGTTTCCAATACACATCACGAACACAATGGAACCTCTAAACAGTTTCAGTTTGAATGTTTATGTTTACCTCATAAGTAAGTTGATCTCTGATGTAAAGAAAGAGGTGCAACTGGTTCTTTTTCGTAACGAATTTTGCTATGTGCATGCTTGAGAGCGTGAAAAACTCTTCGATCACCTCAAAACCGGTTTTTGCTTATATCATGCCAAAGATGAGGAAAATATTCACATTTTGGCTTTAAGCTCAGTTAACAGTTACTATGCCACAGAATGAATACTTGACTAGTTGTTCATTCCTTTCCAAAACATGTTCTAGAAACACCCAGAAGAATTTCAGCGATTTTTTTTCTGCCCTAATTTTTGATGGCTGTGGTTGTCAATTAAAACTTAAATGTGGTCGTTAATTGAAACTAAGAAATGTAATAAACAACTATTGTACCTTTACTGATCCATTTCTTCCGAAGTTGAAGGCATTGGATAAATCGAGTTCATCTTCTTCAAATGTTGTAGTGACTATATTGTCTTGGTGTGCAGCGACTCGAACACTTTCGATCTCAACACTGGGGAATCCCAACTGTAAAGTTTACTGTAGTTAATAAATAAATAGAAACAGGAAGCAGAGTAGCAAACTTAATTATGAATAGTTGCTTTTATAAAACAATTTTGAATTCTGACTGTGCAATTTATTCAGTTTAATTTATGTATGGAAATTTGGCGAAAATTTAATGCAAATTTTAATGTGAATAGTTATGAATATAAAAAACTGAGAAATCCCAACTGTATGATTTATTATAATTAATATATAAATAGAGACAGGAAGTAGAGTAGCAAACTTAATTATGAATAGTTTCTTTTATAAAACAATTTCGAATCCAGACTGTGCAATTTATTCAGTTTAATTTATGTATAGAAACTTGGCGAAAATTGAATGCAAATTTTAATGTGAATAGTTATGAATGTAAAAAAACTGAGAAATCCCAACTGCATGATTTATTATAATTAATATATAAATAGAGACAGGAAGTAGAGTAGCAAACTTAATTATGAATAGTTTCTTTAATAAAACAATTTTGAATCCTGACTGTGCAATTTATTCAGTTTAATTTATGTATAGAAATTTGGCGAAAATTTAATGCGAATTTTAATGTGAATAGTTATGATTATAAAAAACTGAGAAATTTGAACAGTAAGATTTATTATAATTAAAACATAAATAGAAACAGAAAGTAGAGTAGCAAACTTAATTATGAATAGTTTCTTTTATAAAACAATTTCGAATCCAGACTGTGCAATTTATTCAGTTTAATTTATGTATGAATTTCTAATGAATTTCAAAAAAAAACCTACTTCATCTGGGTCGTATGGTTCAAGTTTCTTCTTGTATTCATTGAACATATCATCAATAAACCTATGCCATCTGTAGAAAATAGGATCTCTTAAAGAAGTTGTAGCATCATCCATAACGCCTGGGTTATTCTGGGAGGAAAAAAATAATTTTACACATTATATGCAAATAGCCATATTATATTACATGCACATAATATTAGACTTCAAGTCTAATACTTTTGTTTAAATATATAGCGATGCTAACATATTTTGCTTTGTGGGCTAATTTTACGGGCTGATGTTCAATTTTTTAAATGTTATTTTATCAACTATCGCATATGAAGATATCAAGTTACAACAAAGGATAGAATGAAGATACATCCAGGGTAACAGCGGGGTTCGAACCCGCTACCCCTACGCATTGCACAGTTTTTGGCTGGCGATACCACTCAGCCACGGAGGCCGCTCAAGCGCAGACATAGGTCACGTAGGCTTCATAAGGCTAACTTGTAACTAATTGTATTATATATAATTATTGTAGTAACGTGATAACCAACAAATAAAGATTGACTAATATATATTGAGGAGCAAAAACGCTATCGTTATCATCCTGTTTTTTTAATGCATATTTTCTTTTAAATTAGTATCTTTCTTTGTTTATCCTATCTTGGGGGTGGAGTATTAAATACTTAATAAAATAACATAAATAGCAGTCTTAACTGATACTGTTTAATGTTACTTTAATTCATTATAAAAATCTAAGCGAGTGGTATGCCTACATATTTCGTAACTATAAACGTAAATTTCTTTACTTCAAATTATATTACTTACGAAAGCACGTAATGAGTTGGGAGTAAAAGCACTTAAAAAGTATCATCTAGAAAGCATGACGAATCATGACGCTGTAATGACTCTGAAGAAGATAACTTGTTTCTAAATTATTGTTATGAAACGGTTTGTTGACTGAAGAAGTTTTTGTTTGAATTTCTATTTTGTTGAAGAGGATGATTGACGTAGTTGATGTATTTACAATTAGTTCAAGAAATTGAATGTTGTATTTGCAATTGTCTAATTTTATTCCGCGGTGACATTAAATATTACAAACTGTTTTAATGAAGAATCAAATTATGATAAATAAAATAAACCTTTTATTTTTGTGAATTATATGGAGCTGTAAAGTGAAGATTACTTTTAAGTCTTAATATAAATATACATTATCAAATTATATATTTGTAAAATGGCCCGAAAGGTGTGATTGCAAGGCTATAAGCCCTACAGGAAACCTCCATGAACCAAGAACTCAAAAATGCGAAACTCGTGTTTACTTTAAAATAGTTTTCGCCAAGGAAAGTTAAGGAATCCATATATTGGCTGTGAATAGATTTAATCCATTGCCAAGGCTCCTTTAGCCTTACACATTCAAACGTGTTGGTGGAAAAGAAAGTGTGAGAAATAATAACGAATTTTAATGAATTCAAAACATTAGCAACCATAAAACGGTTTTCGAATTCTAATGTGTTAGGCCGATGTAGAGGGAAACTCTCAAAACAGATTTTATTCTACACTCAATTAAAGGTTATAGTATAAAACTATTGCAGGTTACCGTACTGGTTTTCATTTATCGAAAAAAGGTTAAATAAGATAATAATTTGGTTTTTAAATGTTAAGAAATGTGTTATGCATATTTCAGCATGAGAATTACGAATAAACTAAGTGCTCTGCTTACCAAGAATCTGTGGTCAGGGTCGAGAACGTTGGAAATAAGAACGTGTCCCCAGTTGTGAAGACTGCCGTAGAATTCAGGGTTTTTAGATTCGTGACTGGATTCGATGATGTCACCCAAGATGTCAATTCCGTGTGTCTCATCGAGGATGGTCTCCTTGCCATCAGCGTCTGTTACATATCCCAGATTGATGGCATCCAAGATCCTTTCTCTCCATCGTTCCAAGTTTTGGACACCAACTCCTTGGTAATCTTGCAGGCTCATGCCAGATGGTCTGGAGGCGTATGGAAGACCGTTGATGATGGAGCTCAAGTGAGCAGAATAACCTTCCAAACCTTCGTGGAAGTTGTGGAAAGGAATCATACGAGGCATACCATTGGATAATCTTTCACAATCGTATCTAAAAGAAACAACAATCTTTGAAACAACTCAATCCATTTTATAAATAAAACAAGCAAAGATTGTCTGGAGAATTCAAGTCTCGAATATTCGAGCTTTTCATTAATCAGAGATAGGGAAAATCAGTTTAGAGTCCATAAAATGACCCACACATGCACAGCGTGTGACAAAATGGCTTCAATCACCTTTGCGATCTTAAACATGGATTACACGCATTTCCATCGAAAACAGGAAGAACTAAACTTGCGTTTTTGCCGTCTAAAAAACTCATGTTTAATTCAGACCACGGATTAAAATGCTACAATGATTAACCGTTAACCTGACGGACTCCAAATTTTGCAGCAATTGGAAAAGTGTTTTCATTTAAGTTAAATGAAATGTTCTTCTGTTCGAAATAAATTTGGTTGAAAATAATTACAACTGCTTACTTACTTACTTACTTACTTTATTTAACAAAAGTTGGGCACCTGGGCCGCGCAGAAGACCCATATCCCATTCATCGTGAAATTACAGTAAAATTAGAAAATGAAAGCAGTTTGTATACAGAGTCTCTGGGGTGACTGAGATTACAACTGCTTGAATTTAGAACAAAATATTTTTCCTTTTAAATTTTTAATATATTTTGGTTGTTAAGAATGTTCAGCTTCTCCAACTGTAAGCTGAACATTCATTGACTTTAACTTAACTTAACTTTACAATAACTTGACTTTAACTTAACTTTAACTTTGACTTAAACGACTTTAACTATATTAACGTAAGGAAAGATTTCAGCTACCAGTCTTTAGCATTTTAAAAAGGATATATGTTCCAAAAACTGGCTATAATTCATTTTCTGGATATAATCGTCGTAGATTTCAACAACGCCAAAGAAAAGTATAGTTGCGAAGTTTTACTATTTTAATCACAAGAAACAATCCTTTGAAGAAGCTTTGAGAAAACTACAATATAGGAAAAAACTACAAGTCCTATTTCCCATGCAGCCTTAAATATCGTAGCTGACGCCCAGTATTTTCCTAAAATTTAACATAAAAGCAAAAAAACATTTATGCTTTCATAACATGCAGTTTCCTAAAAATTGGTTATAAGTTTTATATTATTAAGTAAGTTTTATAAGTCTCCTATAAGTTTTTTAGTTTTCAGTTCATAAGAAATGAGGGTAGATAAATACTTTTCAATTAAATATAGTTCAGTGTAATTTAAATATTTGTTTTATTTCTTTTTATTTATTTGTTAAATTTTATGAGGTCGAGTGTTAAGTGTAACAAATTATTCGATGTTCAATTATTCAAGTGTAATTTAACCCTTTTGAAGGCCGTGGTAAGTATACTTACCACCACGTTTTACCACTTTTAATTTAGGTTTCCATTTTTCAACAACTTCAGCTTTCTTGAAGTGAGTTTGAATAAAATTGGTAACCATTTGTCACTTTTAAAAAACGTATAAAAGTTATAAAATACATAATTCCTTTTGAAGTTTGTAGCATTTAAGGAATTTATTTTATAAATAAAGAAAAATAAAAGTCAGTAAGTTCCTAATAGGTCATGTTAAATATATTTACCACCAAAAAAATGGCATTTTTATAAACTATATGAGTTTTTTTTGTATATACATCAATTACTGTTCTTAAAACAATTTCTATTCCAAAAATACTTTAATTTACCTTTACTAGAAATAAAGGGCCCATTAAAGGGTTAAGATAGGTTCGGACAAGTCCACCTCGAACTATCATGACTTTACTGTATTTTCTGTCTTTTTCTCTTGATTTGCATTTAAAATATTTAATTGATAATAGTTTTGTATTATCTAATTTAATCATATAACACAGCGGCAAACGGTTAATGATGAAACTTAAGAAAAACTTCACAAACTTTTGTAAATATAATTAATTCTGAATTAACTATATTGTTGTATGCTTAAACTAAATTTGTAGCTTTATGAGTTAAATTTCCATTTAATTGTTTCGCAAATGTGTAACCACTTTTTTTTCGTCAAGAAGCTATTGTTTTCAAATGTTTAATTAAAAAATTCGAGTTACATCAAGTTCGATAAACGATAAATATAACTTATTAAATCAAGAAAAAATACCCATGAATGACCCTAATTATCACTAAGAAAAGATTTTCGCAGTTTAGCCACACACACGTCACAGCCCGTTTACAAGGCCGACCCATTCATACATCCATTTATTCATCAGCAGGCTAATTTTTTTTACGAAACACCAACACACAATCGCAATTTCATTAGTTTAATTAACCCTACCACTAGGAAAACACTTTTTTTTGAAAAGCGCAAAAGTTGGCTTATGTTTATATGCAATCTTAGTCACTGTCTTAAAATTGTTTAAGGCTTTCACCTTTACATAGTGATTTATTGGATCATGTTATAAATTGATCATGATTTGTGATGAGAAAAATTAAAAGACACTATGATCATGATTTAGAAATAAGTTGCCGCAAACGCATCGCTTTTAAAATTAAAGAGTTCAGATTAAGTATAAGTCGACAGCAGCGCCAGTCGCTTGTAGCGTTAAGAGTACTGAAACAATCTCAGCAACTCACTTTGTTAGATAGTAAAGAAGAGTGCTGGGGGCTAATTTTAGTCTTCTTTTAGCATTTCGGCATATATATATATATATATATATANATATACTTGTATTCTCTATTTCAATTTATAAAGGCCAGGACGATATAAAATATTTTAAAATTCAATTTCGAAAACATGAGGAACATATTTACGATAAATATATTTAAACCATATATACTGATTATTTCTTCTATATTATGTTTACGAACATATTTGAATAATGGTAAATTTATATATTCACGAAATTTAGTCAATTACTAAGGGATTAAAATAATTATAAGTCGTTTCTAACTTCCAACAGTGAGAAAGATATAATTATACTTTTTTTCAATTTAAGAAATTGCTTAGATCTCTATTTTGCGATTGTTTTTAAAGTACCTATTAATTAAAAAAAATGACATTTATGTAATAGTCAAAACTACATATGATGAAAATAACACTTTACAGTTTCTTATTATATCTAGAAAGAAAACAAAAAAAAAGATAATCGTTTCTAACTCTTTGTCATCCGAACACTAAAATTAAAACTAGGATCGCTTTACTGATATTCCTTCTTCTTATCAGCTCTAAAATAGGAAGAGAAACCAAAACAATAACGAGAAATGTTATTAACCGGAAAAAGGTATGGTTTCCTGATAACTTAAGCTGAATGTGAAAAAGATTAAGAAAAAAGAGCGTAGAATTATTAGTAGTTCTTTATTTAATACGCGTTTATTTTTGTCATCAAATCTCATTTGAATTTATAAAATTTTATCGTTATTTTCCAACGAAATAGATTTTTTCGAACTAACACTAGCAAATTTAATGAGTTCTAGTATCTAGTCAAACATCACCTAATGCAAGACTAAGTCTCTCATAGTCATTTGATTGTTCGAGGCCTTAACAATTAAGTAACTATGACAGAGATATCCAAGGATAAATCAAATTAAATAAAATAAGCTGAAGTTTGGTCTTTAAAAAAGGACTGTTATGAACTGTGAGAATAGTTAACGGCGAAAAATTCTTCATTTCTGAATTTGGTTATTTTATTTTGAGCTATAGAGTTTAATGTGAAATATGAAGAAAAAAAAATTGGGCCTCAATAAAAAGGATGATTTCTATTATTAGCGACTCTATTTAGTTATAAAAAATCTCAATATTTCCATCTTTATCTTTGAAAAAGGAAATCGTTTCCACTAAAGAAACTAAGAATACCGTATAGTAAAAGAAAAATAGTGGTCAACATTTGTTTCATTCTTGGCATGAATTTGGAAAGTTAAGACGTTCGTGTCATCTATGTCGTCCATCCTTATGATTAGAATAAATTTCTTTTTGATCTATCTTAAATTGATCGATCTATTACGATTTATTAAAAAATATACGTGTCCACTTTATTTAAGGGCAAATATCTACCACTTTGTTTTTATAAGTGCAGTTCCCCTTTGTATATACATTTACGTTTTTCTGTTGAATGGTTTAACATTTAAAGTTTAAATAAAAATTATTTTCGAACACTTTGTAACAAATACTACATTTTAGGATTGTCCTACTACATGCATAGACATACTTACTTTATTTAACAAATTTGGGTACCTGGATCGCGCAGAAGGCCCCTATCCCATACATCATGAAATTTACAGAGAATTGTATGTAATAAGAAACATTTTGAGTTCAGCAGTCTGTGTGGTGGCTGTTAAGAATACACACGCATATATATATATATATATATGTAGTTTTACTCTNATATAAATATATATATATATATATATATATATATATATATATATATATATTTTACTCAGCAGGGTACCACGGACGACTAAATGTAAGAAGTGGTAGAAACTCAATTCGTCTTTATTTATTTCTTTCCTCAATCCTCACTATCACCATGCATGATTTACATTTCAATTTAATTACTCGTGTTTAACACGTTCACGCCGGATGTTGAGCCTGAAAGCGGGACGGAAAAGAGAAAATACTGGTAGAAGAACTATTTCATTATTACATAATATTCGGGAGGAGTTAATCCATTCTCAACAATAGCAATTCACTATAAGGAAATAAGCAATTCAATATAAAAATTGCATCCGTTATAAACAATTGGTAGTTATGGATTTTTATTATTCCCGGAAAAAAATTAAAAAATGAAATTTATTTGTTACCAGTTTTTACTCGGCCAAGATGAGAAAATCTCGCGTGACCCACCGGTGGGTCACCCCGACGTGAACGTGTTAAAACAAAAACATTATTTGCGTTTCCTTTCATTTATAACTAAAAGAAATATTGTGAAAAAAGTTGCTATTTTCAATCTTAGATTTTTGTTGTTTATTAGTCCCCACTTTGTACACTTTTAATCGCCTGGCGCACCCTTGCCTTAGTGATAAACCTGATTGTACATCAAAATAATAATGTTAATTATCACACAACATTAAAGGAAAATTTAAAACAGATCGGATTCATTATGAAATAATAAAATTAAATATTATTTACCGAGCACACATCTGTTGATGCATGTAATAAAAGATTTCTCCCTTTCGATCTTTTGCTTTTCCAGTTACAGCGGCATTCCAAGTGCTGGGGTATACCAAATGCCAATGCCAATGATGGGCATTGATGCCAACATCCTCCCTGTAGTAGGCCAAATTGTATTCGGGATCCAAAATGTTACCAGTGGCTTCAACATCTACAATGATTTCATCCTGAAACAACATTTCACATTAAAGAAATGAAAATTTTGGGGGTGTAACCAACGCCTCCTATAGCTGAAAGCCTCCACACGGTTTTTTTTTTTAGGTAGTCCGATCAGACCACTGTGAAGGATATTCACATTCTGAACTAGTCACTTAATACAAAATCTAGTTAAAATAAGAAAGTGGTAGCAAATATATGACTAGAATTTTTATTTATTTATGAATATTATTGGTTTGCCTTATTCACTTGTCAACCACTACAGATTCAATTCTCAAATATATATGATGAATTTCTCTCAGTTACTTTTATGAAAGGTTTTGGGTTCATGCGCACAACTGGTTCACTTTTTAAGTAGTCTGCGCGGACTACTTATAAAAGACCGTGTGGAGGCTTTTTGATGTAGGAGGTGATGGTATAACGAAGATCCCTTTGACGCAAAATTGAGACATTTATGACCGCCATTTTGAATTATCAATAAAACTATTCAATCTATCTAAAACTTATGGTGATAGCTAATAATGAAAAATGTCTGTCTTACCTTTGCTTAAACATTCGATGCCAACCTTTTATGCTTTGCAAAAAAAAACAAAAAAAATTCTAGTGATAATAAATTTAAGTTGTTAATAATTTAGTTTTTTTCATATTCAGTAATATTTGCAATTAGAAAGCTCAAAGTATCATACGAAATATAACTTTATTGTAATTCTCTCGTAGTGACTCTGTTAAAGAGTGGGTGTAATTATTCCTATTCTACAAGTTTACAATTTAATTCGCTATTAATTAATTAAAACTTTTGCAGAAAATAGAGTATTTGGCATTCCTGATAATGTCAATATTCATCCTCAAACCTACCAATATTCGTAAAGGTTATAAACAAATAATTTTTTCTTGACACCTGATTACGTACCACTTTCTCTTTTTCGTAGTCTGATTACAAAATAATACGTTAATTTGAATATGATCTTAACTCATTCTCAGGAATATGATTTTTTTTTTATAAAACTAAACAAATAAATTAAACTGGAACGCATTTACTTAATTTAAGCGCGAGTGTCATACTGCTTTTTTTTTACATTAAATTTTTTTTTTTTTTTTTTTTTTTTTTTTTTTTTTTTTTTTTTTTTTTTTACATTTCAGTGGAGAAAAGAATTAAATGACCGTCTTTTGTTTATTTTTGGAGTAGAAAAGGGTACAAAAGAATTTGGCATTAAATTGTCGACCAACAGTCTTATAATTCTTTTAATTTGGAAAGGAAACGTCATGACGTAATATTTTCAAATGAGTTTTTCTCACCGATCTTAATAAAGTTAAATAGTGATAACGAAAATGCGATAAACTTGTATCCTTTAATACATTTGTGACCCCTAAATATTATTTTGTTAAGAAAATACATCTGTAAGAAGCTTTGACCTTTCAGGCCGATTGAATTGGTATCTTAAAAAAGAATAACGTCAATTTACTGACAAAATTAAATTTTTCTAAACACTCTGTGTTAAACATTTAGATATTTTGGAGATATTTGGAGTTTAAGAAATAAAGCCGAAATTCAATCGTAAACTTCTATCGTCAATGTATAAATATTTACTCTAATTCATTAAAATATCGCTTAGAACTTTTAGTTCTTTAATTTTTCCATTAAGCCAAAGCGCTGTTTTTCCCAGCGATGGGCATTGTAATCATGTTAATTACTTACATCTTTATCTGGGTGGGCGTTTGCAACCTTAATTGCCTTGTAGATGGTCTCTACGGGGAAGAACTTGTCAGGGAAGACCTCCTGGACGGGTGGAAGTGAGATCCCACGGCAGTCATTGCGATGCAAAACGGCGACAGACACTGCGTAGACGAACAAACCTTCGTTCACGAAGTCCCTGGCTTGATGGCACAAATCGACAAACTCATCGAATGTTTCAGCACCTAATGATAAAATAATACTATTGACTTGGTCATGTAACAAAGATTTTATCCATTAACATCCGGACACAAAACGTAAACTTTAAAAGAAAAAGAAAAAAAACCTCAATTAGAATAGGCTTAACATAACTGTTTACACCAATTAGACATTTCCAGCTGTAGCTTACTAATTTAACTTTTAATGAGATCAATGTCGTGACTTCGTATCCAAATATTAAAATTACGATATATTAAGGCAGACACAGCTGTTTTGTATCTGCAAAATAAATATCAGTAATGAAACAGTTGAGATCTGCACTTTTTGCCTTTTTTACAAAAATTAAACTTTTTTTAAAGGATGCTAGATTCAAATGGTTTAATACCTTTTTTTTTGTCTCTCATTTCTGGAAATTAAAAAAGGCTACGTTTCAAGTAGTAGCAGAAAAAAAATTTCATTTAAATATGTGACTCGACCTCATTTTATTTATAACTGTGACTTTCACTATTTTTTCGGGAGATTTACTTTTTCTTCAAAAAGTAAATCTCCCTATAAAGTAGTTGAAAAAGTTTATGCTTATTGCGTATCATTGAAAATTGGTTTCTCTCCGCGACTGCCAACTTTCTATGTTTTTTTTTGGGGGGGGGGGAGATTTCCGTTGTTATGTGTTAGGTTATTTGATTTCACAAAGCTATTTTCCCCTCCACTGTATGTAAAGGATTCAAAAGTTTATACGAAGTTCGATTTCATTCAAGCTCTCTGGAGTTGAAGCTTTAAAAATGCTGGCTAAAGTTCTAAAAGCTTTAATTTTTAATTGTTTATCTTAGCATGAAATATTTTGCAAAAATACGCAGTAATTTGCAGTTCTGTCTCTCTCACAAAAAATAATGTTCTATTAATAGTTTTCTATCGTTTGGAATTGCCAGATAATCATTTCAGTTATCAGCCAGAAAATCATTTAAAATCTCAGAAGAGCAGAAGGAATAAAAAATAAATAAATAAATAAAAATACAGGAATGTTTTTGCACTGGTGAAGTAGAATCTAACTAGAACAATTTTGCTCTAACTTTAAGAAATTTTAACTACCGTTTTCTGAACTTTTTAGCGTTCTCTAACCGTTTTGTTACAAATTTTTATATAAAAGTGTACTTTAAATGCTCTTGTTTGAAAAACAGTGATACCTTTTGATTTTTTTCAAAAAGCACGACGAGATCCAAATTCCAAACACTGTCAGATCTCTTAAAAAGGTATCATAAAAAAATTCTGACGAACTTTAACGTGAATTAACTACCACTATTTAGACACCAAAAGATCCTTGGAGAAAACTCCATAATTTCAGAAATATTTTATTGTTAGAAATTTTACAGGATATTAGGCTTTAACGTAATTCATGTTATAAATAAAATTACAGTTTTCCAATATCCATCCTGGCCTCGAAGCACTTCTGATTTTAATTAAATGTACTTGAGAAACTGAATGTTTTATTTACTAAATATCAGTGTCATTATGCATACAAAAATAGGAATTTTCTCGTTAAAAATTTAAACTGCTTATTAAATTTGATTTGAAACAGTGAGAAATTAATTTTATATTATTGCCCGCAGAAATGTAATTTTTTGGAAATTTTCTTAAAAAAAAAAAAAATACCGTTTTTTTTATAAATAAATACTAAGTAGTTGTAACAATCTTTCAGTCATTCTTTTTTTTCGCGTATCATTTTAAACAAATAATTTAACCAATATATAAATGATCATGAAAACACTTTTAAAAAATACCTATTTATAGCTCATTAGTATATTTTATTTAAAAAAGTTCTCATTTTCTTAGAATGCATCGTTTAAATAAATCATTACGAAAACTACGAAATATACATCTTTTATTAATACTACGGATTTTAAAACAGCTTTTTTTTAAATTTATGAAAGAAAAAAAAGGTGGTAATATAAGCAATAAATAAAACACATAAACTAATATTTTCAGAAATTTTCTAGCAAGGAATTTCAGCTTAGTTTCCAATAAGCATTTTTCTATCTTGCGTGCAAGAAATAATTTTGTTTTAAAAATAATTATATATTTTTTAAGTTGTAGCATTTATAGTTTTGAAAATTTCTAATGTCGTCCACCTTATTTCTACCATGGCACTGTCTTTACTTAGAAAATAAAGTTGCAGTTGTAAAATGTTCTCGTTTCCGTTCTGTTTCTTTTGAATTTATAAAAGCAAATTACTTAAACTGAATTTTTTTTTGAAAGATTTAACATAGCATAGCCAACTTTTTATTTCAATCTATAATGTTTTTCCTATAATAAATGTTAATATTTTTTTTTTTTTTTGTAATCAAGTTTGATTCAGCCTATAACAGCCACTTTGCTGGGGAAAAAAACTTTTTTATCAAAAAGTGCTACTGGAAAAAACACAAAAACAAGTAAAAACTGGTTGCATAACTATTTTTATTCTTTCTTTAAATCACGGCGAAGCAAACTGCCTACACATTGCGATATTTCAGCGATATAGAGCTTCTTTCGGTTAAATTAATAATTTCATTAAAAAAGAAAGTATTTTGATTTTGATTTAAGCTGAACAAAACTTGTGTATGTTTTTTTCTTTTTCCTTTCCTTCACTTTTCAATTTTGTCATTAACTTCTAACTACTAATTGTCCACTAAATCCCATTTAATTAAATCCTTTGAGTTATCGAACAATAATTACTGAGGTGGCTTCATTGGTCTAGTACTCTTTAGAAAAATTTTCTAGTTTCCACAGTTTCCATTCTCTGGACTATTCAAGCAAAAGCAAAATGAAGCTCTGCCAACTTTCTACACTTTTTTTGAAAAATTTCTTCTTGTGGTAGCTAAGTTAATGCTTCTAATGCATTATAGTTTCTTTTATAATTTTGATTTAACGCTATTTTTCACACTATTACTTAGAAATGATTCGAAAGCTTATATAAAAAGCAACTTCAATACATCTCTCACTTGGTGGCAAAATTTACAAAAATTCGGCTATCTTCAATTTTTAATTATTTACCACTGACTAATACATTAAACAAAAAGAAAATTAGTTGGCAAACCTAAAAACATCTAAAGATTTCTGCCTTTTGTTGTAATTAGGTTATCAATTTACCACTCAAGAAGATAATTCTCGCGAAGAGTAAAAGTTGGTAGGTATGTAAAAAAATTAAAACTAGTTTTTTTTTTATTCTACTTACCAAGAAGAACTTCGGCTAGTCTGTTAGCTTCAATAAGATGATCCTGCTGAAAACTAGAAAACAAACGTCCTCTTCCCAATACTCCAAGTCCTTGAAGTTTGGCATCTCTTTCAACTTTCAAGCCAAACTTTGTACTGGTTGGCAATGTACAGTACTCAAAAAGAGGCAATACTCGCCTTTGCTTTTCAGCTGCGTCTGCTGGCATCTTACAGTTTGTGGGATTCTCACTAAACAAAACCGCGTCGGACAACGGCAGAATATCTTTATATACTGGACACACAATGATATTCGACGAAGTGTTTGGAGAATCAGTGGGTCTATTTTGATCGAAGCCGTAAAAAGGCAGGGAAGGGCACATCCGCTTCTAAATCTGATTTTAGATTGAGATGCCATTTATCTTGGAAAACTGTATCTCAGGTTTTTCTACTTAATTGTTCTACGACAACTTCTTATTTAGAATCTTAGAGAGGAGATAAGATTGATGATTTTAGTACAATGTAACTTTTTTTTCTTCGAATAAAGAAAATAAAAATTCTGTTTTAATGGGAGACGTATTCGAAAGCGAAAAATTGATTTTCATTTTGCCTTAAGTAAATGTGTAAATGTATTTCTTTATTTTCAAAATAGCATTTATACAATATATATTAATGTAAGTCAAACAAGTAAAATTTCTTTAAAAATCTTTTTGGAATTGCTTTTTTGCGAATATTTAAAAAATTAATATGTACGTCAAATTTTGCTCATTATGATCGTACGAAATTGGACTTTTTCAAAAATTATGAAATTTCACATGTTGATATTTACATTTTATATGATTTTATTAAAGTAGCTATAATTTAATGTTCTGATCACAATTTTATTTAAGAGTGAAATATTGTTTAAATTATTTTTGCATTTTAATTTTTTAGAAATATTCTACTAATTTTAGTTTAAGGAATTCATAATTCTTATTGTTTAAATTATTTTCGCTTTTTAGTTTTTCAGAAATATTCTACTAATTTTAGTTTAAGTAATTCATAAGTCATACTCCACGTAAGAAACTACTTCCCTTGATTTTCGAAGTCTATTCACGTAAATGTAAAAATTTTGTTCTAACAGTTTTATGTAAAAGACTTTTTAAACGCACTTAAGAGTATAGTATTATTATTTAACAAACATTGATGACCATTACTTTAAAACATTCATAAAAAGTAAAAATAAAAATTTAATTTTTAAATATCTGAAATAAAATTTGACTTAAAGTTACATTAGTAGTTTTTTACAAATATGGTCTTGAAAATATTAATTACCAGTGAAAAACTACACATTCATATTGTTTAAAAAAATTTCATTTCCCCTGTGGCGAACGTATTATTTTCTTTAAGTGGTAAATTTTTGATAATAATTACTCACTGATAAAAATTGCCAACTAAATAGTAAATGTAAGTCAAAAATATTTGTTAAAACACTTAAAATTTTAATAATTTTCATTCTTTTTTTAATTATTATTTTTAGCATCATTGAGAAAGGTTTCAAAATAAAGAAGTCTAAGAAACAAAAGGAGGCAAAATACGGAAGACAATACTACAAAATATCAAATTTATCTAAACATAACATAAACACACCACTTTTTCATTAAGATAATTTTAAAGTATTTTTTTATATTTATATATATATATATATAACATAAGGGAGATGTAGCCATTGGTAACTAAAAAAGTAAAAAGTGGTAGAAATGCTATTCATTTTTATTTATAGTCTCATTAATTATTCAATCGTAGCTACCACTATGATTTATGTTTCAATAAATAATTATATTTTAGTTGCTCAAAAGCTAATTGAAAATAAAAATATGTTAGTGAAAAAGCTTCTAATCTTAACCCCTTGGGGACGAGCGAATCAGAAAAGCATTCGTACAAAATCAGAATCAGGTTGTATTTAAATAAAAAACGGTAACTTATATATGGTCTTTGCTAATTTGACAGACTTACTTTGCTTTTATTTTATTATTGTTAGTTTAATCATATACATAATCAATGTTAATTCAAAGTATAACTAAATAGTTTTATTTTGAACAAAGTAATGGTGACTAAAATAAATCAAGCAATTATAACTCCGCCCATAAATAAACTGCTAAAGAATTACTTTGATTACCAGTTTTATCTTTTTACCCTGGTTGATACGGTTTTATGCTGTCACGTATTTGCGACAGTCTTTCCAATTATGTTTATATTTATATGTGTCAATTTAGATCCGATATTCAAATGTTATATCAATTATATTTANGTTTATATTTATATGCTTATATTTATATGTGTAAATTTAGTTTCGATATTCAAATGTTTATTTACCCAAGCAAAGTGCTTGTAATTTTGTATTAGCAACCACATCGACTGCTAAATTCAAAATGTTATCACTTTAAACTTATGTAAATTTCTAGATGTATGGGATAGGGGCCGCTGCGCGGCCCAGGTGCCCAATTTTTTTATAAATAAAGTAAAGTAAAGTATTTGCGACAGTCGGCGCGAAAGGGTTAATCTCATAAAATAAATATTTGAATTTTACTAGTTACACCTCTTTTGCATTTTTAGTCACCCGTGGCTACCTTGAAATTAGCCTATATTATCTATATATATAATTATATATATTATTTATTTATTATTTATTTATTATTTTTTTACGTGATATATTTTTTACTTAAGGTGCTCTTTTTTGTTTCAAAAATATTTTTAAGTGCTCTTCACACTATTGTATTGATGTATTTTGCTCTGTATAATTTATACAATATTTGAAAGCACATCCTTTTTGAAGATATAATCGTGTGAGCTAATGAAGATAATATATCTCCTCATTTTTTTTTTCCTTCCGGCTTTTTAATATCTTTTATTATTATTTTTTTTATTGCTATTTTTCAATATCTTTAAAATTAATATATTTTGACCCTCTTGGTCCTCTTGCGGGAATGCTAAGTACGCAAGTGACAGATCTTATTGTCCACTGATTGTCTACTGTCTCAAACAGAAATCTCTTTTAGAGGATATGTTAGTTGCCACTTCTTTTTAAAAATGAATTATCATTCCTCAATATCAGATTTGTTAGTGAAATTGCATCTTAAAAATTAATTAGATCAAAGATCCCTGAAAATCATCGAATTCGGTATAAAGGTCAGAAAAAGTTTACAGTCCGGTAGACACCCTGGTCCCTCACTTTTTTTTAAATTAACCCCTTGGGGACGGGCAATTCAGAAAAGCATTCGTACAAAATCAGAATCAAGTTGTAATTAAATAAAAAACGGTAACTTAAATGTTGTCGTTTCTAATTTGACAGACTTATTTTGCTTTTACTTCAATTATTGTTAGTTTAATCATATATATAATCAATTTTAATTCAAAGTATATCTAAATAGTTTTATTTTGAACAAAGTAATGGTGAATTAAATAAATCAAACAATTATAACTCCGCCCACAAATAAACTGCTAAAGAAATACTTTGATTACCAGTTTTATCTTTTTACCCTGATTGATACGGTTTTATGCTGTCACGTATTTGTGACAGTCGGCGCGAAAGGGTTAATAATAAAAAGAAACATCATTATTACGAAGTGTACTAACAGGACAACAACTAAAAATGCAAAAAAGTGCTAACTAATAAAATTAAAAATTTCATTTAAAAAAAAAATTTAATTAGCATAATTTTTATAGCATATTTATTCTTATTTACTATTGAAAATAATTGCACTGGATATGTTTAACTATGAATAATTTGTAAGGTAAGTCATCATGGTAGTTATGACTGAATAATTAAAAGCGATATTAAATAAAAGAGAACTTCTACCACTTTTTACATTTATATTCTTGCTACCAAGCACGATTGCTTATATACGCTCATCTTCTCCATCTTAAAATAGTGGATAATCCTGCCTGCCCCCTCTGCCGCAGTGGTGCGACGATGAATGCTGGACATCTTCTCAACTGTTCAGTTCTCACAAAGAACTGCATCTACTCCCGATACTGGGAGGCCAGAGAACTTTTGTTCAATTTAAGTTCTTGAATTAATTTTTGTGTTTGATGTTTTGCTTTTATTTTTGTATTTTGTATATTTCAGCTCTTTCTGTATTTGTATTTTTCCTTTCTTTTGATCTCTGTACGGCGTTAGGATAATGTCTATATCGCCTGCTGCATTGGAAATAGAAAAAAAAAGCATTTATATTCGCCTTTTGGCATCCATTTATTTGTCAAGTATTCAGTACTACAACAAGAAAAGAAAAGATATATCACTCCAGATTGCATATCAATTGCATTTTGTGTTTGTTTGGGAAGATAAAAAGTTTTTTGATAAAATAATAGTGACAGCCGTAGAGAATTTTCATGGAAAAACTGTGACAAAATGTGACTTCTAAGCATACGTACTGAACTGAATTGAACTTGTTATGCTAGCTGGGCGGCGAAACAGCCATCAATCGTGAATTATTTATCATTGTGTGAGCTCTTTATGGTCAGCAGACAGTGTGGTAGCTATTCTAAACACACGACTGGAGCTCAATTTCATATGGCAGCCATAAACAATGAGAAAAAAATGGTATTCTGAGATTGATCATCAAATTAAAAGATTGCGACAACGCGCGTTAACATAGAAATTAGTGGTAACATTTTGTTTCGTCCATCATTTTTTAAGAGTTTTCGAGTTTTTCTAGACTCTGGCCACTTTTTTCATGCTTTACAGTTGAACATTGAGAGTTGTTAACCCCTTATTTCTAAAATAACTTTTTGCAGGGGAAAGTAGAGAAAGAACAAAGTACGTTTTTTTATTCATTTTATAGTAAAACAGTTTAACGCGGACCATTTTCTCGCACCCTTGGTCCCTACGCAGAATTATTAAAATGGTCATCCGCTCGCTTACTGCCTGCAGCCAGTCAACTTTCCATCAGAAATAGATGTTAATGGGGTAGCAAGAGGCGGATCTTAAAAAGAGAGACATCGAGAATTAATATATATATATATATATNTATTTTTATATATCTCGAAGAAAAAAAAAATTCCCTTCAAATTTTCTATATACTCAGAGATGCCAACTTGCTCCGGACAGAAAATAAATATTTTAAAGTGGTAGTTTATCAATTGTGATTCTTGGTTTAATAAATTCAATTTAGTAGATTTTTATCCACCACTATTTCTAAATAATTCGCTGCCTTATATAATTCGCCACTTATAGCCCTTATATTTTGCTATACCTTTTAAAAACTAAGCAGAAGTAGTCAAATATTTGCAAAATTTACTATAAAGTTATTTACCGTTTTTTAAATTATTTTGGCGTGTCCGGAGCAGTTGGCATCTCTGTATACTAAATGTTAAAAAAGCCTTGATTTCTCGAGGTTTTTTTTTTTCTAATCCCTCG